CGAGACCAACGCAGACCTGCGCAATTGCGATCGCCGTCTTGCTAGTGCGTTGCATGATGGTTAGTCATTTTGTCCGACTTGCTCTGGAGGCTCGCCTACATGAGACGTTGAAATCTCGCGGGACAAAGACGCCCGCAGACTTGAGAGCGAGGCGAGGCGGCGCAGTTTCTCTCCACGGGCTGCGGAAGCGAAATGCTTGATGGGAAACGACTCGCTGGTATCTCGAGCTGAGCGCTCATTGGTGGCTTTTACCACGTGCTGGTGATGAAACTCTCCAATTGGCTCGGCAAAAGTTTGTTGTTGTTTTGTGTCAGTTTTAAGTCGTCACTTCCATTCACATTTTTCATCATTGTTCCACAATGTTTATCATCATGAAATTAATATCTATATATTTTATACTATACTTGCACTACTTACCGTTTTCATACTTTATATATCTTAGTATATTCATACACACTGTTAATACTGCTCACAGGCTGATGTGTATAGTGTATTCATACCCCTCCTCACTGTTTATTCATCATTCAATTCATTCTATATTTTATTCTGTAGATTGTGTACATTACTTTTCACTTTACTGCTTTTTGCACTCCTGGTTAGAAGCTAAACTGCATTTTGTTGTCTCAGTACCTGTAATATGTGCAATAACAATAAAGTTGAATCTAATCTTGAGCAGGAACAAATTTATTTACTTAGTACATATCTGACATTAATGATTAAACACGTTTGTGCATTCTTTACAAATGCAAACCGAGTCAAGCCGACTCCGGAGGAGGCGGTATGCACCTTAAAGTTGTTTGCAATCCGCCAAAAAAACGTGAGAAGAAGAAGAAGAAGAAGCCGACTCCGAGCTGTCCGACTTCAGGCGAGCTTTTTGAGACCTCCCCCGGCTGCGATCGGCTATTCTCGTCTACTTTCGAGACGAGCCGCAGCTCATCTCAAACAAGCCTATTATCTCCGGTAGAATTCTGATCAGGCATTAGCTCCGCCTACTCTTATTTATTTATTTTCAAGCTAAAGACCCAAAATCTGCGTTTCTCTAACAGGGCTTCAAAAGAGGGGTTTGAGCAGTATGAGGCATGGCTACAATGCGTGAACTGTTTGGTATTTTGAAAAAAAAACTTCACAGACATGTTTTATATAGGTATGGCCCTACAATATATTTTTCAAATATAGCATGATAGGTCCACTTTAAATCACTTATGATTAAGTGTAAATATGCCAACAGGTGGAGTTTCCGTTCCATGTAGTACACAAGCAGCAGTGAACGTCCTGTTGGTTTGACCCGTCTGCCCACCACACACACGTCTGAGGCGGATTTACTTTTTATAATATTTCATCTGACTTCATACATAATAAGGGCTTTCTAATTAAAGCTTTCAATCAGATTAACTTGAAAAAATAAATAAATAACTTGAAATAAGTAATGCAAATGCGCCTAGAATGTTACTTAATGTATATATTAATAGATTGATGTACCAATGTTACTGTGAGTTGATGCGTGTTAAATAACACTACCTAAAGTGGCAAACAAAGCCACCATCACATTTACCATGTTTTTATCCCTCTGACCCCCTTTGTGGCGCACAATGCAGACCGCTCAGCTGCGCCATGTCAGTTGAAACGTCTTTTATGGACACATTACAGCGATTTTTAACCAGCCATTTACTGTTGCATTGTGGTCTATATCTGATCCTGCTTAACTGCAGCCAAGACGGACCGCTTGCATGGAGGTGATTTCGTCTTATACTTAATACGGCCGCTTCACGTATAGCTTCCGGACAACTTTGACCCTCCCAGCCTGCTCCCAGCACGTGACTTAGCACATGACCAATAGGATGAAAACTCTGAGGTAGATTTGGGCTTATACTGTATGGCTATATAATCAGACAACATAAAACCAGGTGTCAGAAAATAACCTAACTATCGCTGACAAACAAAAGTAGGTGAGTTAAACTAAAGCATCAAATGAAAATAATTGATTTAGGTACTTTAAATGTACTTTCAACCACTAATCATACATTTAGATTTGTATCCACATCATATTTGACAAAAATATTTTATTGAACTTTTTTGCAAATGATAATGGGTGAACACAACTGCAGAAGTTCCCTTGCATACATTTAGAATGAGGAAGAAGTAGGCTATGATGAACAATAGAATAAAGAAAACACAGTTTAAATGGTTACCACGCAAATGTTAGAGAGTTTCAGAGAGTATGGATGTGCGCCGACACACTCTGTTCCCGTGGCTTGTTTGCATACTGGCCAGACTTTGATCTGTGATGTTGGTGAAGCGGCTGCTGCGTGCTAACAGCGGCTGCTTCCTGTGTGCTGACTGTAACAGCTCTCTGACGCTCGATGGAGAAAGAGGAAGTGACAGAAGCAGAAGCACAGCGCTCAGGCAGAAGACTAATGATCAAAACTTGAATATTAAGCAACACGACTTCCCTCCAATCACACATTGGAGACAACCAGACAGTCATCTGTACATTTAAATACAATATTGTATTTAAATTTACAGATGACTGTCTGGTTTTCTCTTCACATTGCAGGTTCAATACCTTTGAGCCAACAAACTGTTTCTAATCTAGACACATTACGGAGCTAAAGATAACTGCCGACAGCATCAACCGGTTGATAAGATGTTGCTTTCCTTCCTTCCTCCCTTCCTTTCAAATCTTTATTTTCTCTGCAATGGCTTCAAAGAACACTACTGCTTTGGACAATCTTCCCCACGACAAGGACAAAGTAGAATTTATTACAATTTTCACTAACAATGTGCATGTCAAGTGAATGTGTTAGATACGCAGAATGATTGTTTAAAGCTGCACTAATCCATGTTGAATCTCCCAACAGCAGCAGTAGTCAGCACCCACCAAGAGACAGAGCATGTTAACAGAGAGCTAATGTAGAAAGTCACTCCATGGAGAACTTCAACCCTGTGTGCTACAAAATTACGTTTGAATACAAGGAAACCACATAGTCAATTTTGTTTTAAGGGAAACGTTGTAAAATAAAAATACACAACAAAACTACTTGGATAGGTTTAGGCAACCAAACTGTGGTTATGCTTTTTAAAGTATCCTCTTTTGGCTTAAAAATAAGTTTGTTATCAAAATGAAATAAGTGAACATTGACGTTTGACAGGACTTTCACCCAGTAGACCGCTGTTTGTGTCCCATGTGAAAGTCCCGTAGAAAAGTATTTGTTATAGACGAACAACATCTTGGAGAATGTAGGTTTCCCAGAGAATGTTGACAATGCAGTTTCGTTGTAGGCCTATGTTATGTTTAGACCTGGCTGACTTAATAGGCTGATCGTGTTGCATTAGACCTGAGAAGCCCGACAATATAATAAAAGCAGCTTAAAGAAAATACATTTTTGTTATTTCGAATCAACCAAAAAAAAAGGGAAATAATTGTTGACGTCTTCTCCCAGCCTTAAGTCTCTGTGTTTCTCTCCTCAGAGCAAGATGCCATCCAATGCAAACTCTTCAGAAGGTGAGTCATGGTCTTTATTCACATATTGCCTCAGCTCCACTTACGGCCCGTCCACACGGCGGCGTGTGTTGAAGTTTCAGCGCTTCTGCCCATTCACGTTGAAAGGGGTGACGTCACACTTTGCCGTACTGCATCGCTTAAAAAGTTGAGCAATATTCAACTTTTGAAGCTTCGACGGAAGCGTCAGCCAATCACATCATATGCCAGTACAAGTTCTAGCCAATCAAACTGCGTGCTTGTGTGTCCGGGGCGGGAGATTCATGTGATTGGTTGTTGGTCGAGCTTCAGACACGCCCGCCGGCAAGCTTCAATGCACGCCGCCGTGTGGACGCATCGTTACACAGTAGATATATGTATCCAAACCTCACCTGTACATGGTCCTATATTAAAGGTTACTATACTATTAGTTGTTAACACCACCAACAAACAGCACCATGTAGGTCAGTGCTGGTTAGATGCAGCAAACTCAACACAGCATGTGAGTGAGAGGAAGTAGAGTGAGACAGAGCGATAGCCCCCACCCACTGCTTCACCACACTCTCTGGAGACCAGCCCAACTGTTATTATTAACAAGGAAGTCAGTTACAGATGTGGCTCAGACTTAAATGCAGTGTGTCTACTGAAACATGCCCAGATACTCAGTCATGTTCACTCTATCACACATATCAGTATTTGATGAAATCCTCATGAAAATTGTGTTGTTTTGCTTAACAATATGTTTTCTTATGCCATTATTTCTTGGTATACAATTCTTCAGAAAGTATGCTTGCAGCTTTCACATGGGAATGCAAAAAGGGACATATTTGTTATTGTGTATTAAGACCAAACATGAATATTTTCCTCTTCATTGTCCTTCCCCTGTAGGAGAGAGTATTGCCATGGCACTGTACGACTATGAGGCCATTCATGAAGCTGACCTTGGCTTCAAGAAGGGAGACAAGCTCAAAATCTTAGCCGAGTAAGTATTGTCATTCTTTGATCCTTCAGATATAAGAATAGCTACAGTATATTATATAATAACTTGTAGGGTAATTGTCCCGTTAAATGTTGTTTTTGGACGTTTGAAGCATGTAGTTTGTCATTTCTCGTTGAAGAAATGTTCACGCTTGTGTCTCTGCTCTTCTGCAGATCGGGGGAGTGGTGGAAAGCAAAGCTTGTGAGTACAGGTCAGGAAGGCTTCATCCCCAGCAACTATGTGGCCAAAGATACTCTGGAGGCAGAGGAGTAAGTGTACAATAAAAACACATTTAAATGCATTATCCATTCTCACTCAAAACGCATCAAATACAGCAGCTTGGTCAAACAGTGACCCTCCTCTCAACCCTTTAGCTTGATTACAAATGCAGCGCTGCCTCTAGTGGCCATCATGATTATGAAAATGGTAAAGAGGGATTAAGGTAATAAAGCTGCATATTTTATCAAAGTTTTATTGAAATCACATCAGGGGCTGCCAAAATTGCAGGAGGTGCAATATTTGTCTCAAGCAACATATGTGAAAATATCATTCGGATTGTATGATTGTTGTGCTGCAGATATGTCAGGGCGTACAAATCATATTCTATGAACATAATAAAATATAAAAGATGCCCTTCAAAATGCATACCATGATCATTTCAAATGTATCTTTAAATGATTATAACAAAAATGTTGCAAAATGATCAATCCATCCAATATCGTAAAGCATATTGCAATTGCAATTTCAGAATAAATAACCAAACATTTTTTAATTCCTGCAGCTCTATCAAGAGAGTGAATCCTTTGAACATATTTACATAACTTATGTAACATATCACTTATCACGTCACATACATTTTTGTTTTATCACAAAGTTTAAATGAATAAGGACACAAAGAACACAATGTTAATAGAGAATGAAAGTCCACAGAGGAAGAGCTGCTGAGATCTTTCTGAACTGACTGATGTTTTCCTGTTGTTCAGTTGGTTCTTTAAGGGCGTGAGCAGGAAAGATGCTGAGAGGCAGCTGCTGGCCTCGGGGAACAAAGGGGGGTCCTACATGATCCGAGACAGTGAGACCACCCAGGGTAAGTGAAGAACAGAATATCTGTCCGGTAGTGGAGCAGTTTGAAGGGACGTGTTCACAATGATTAAGAGGAGAAAGTAATACTCTGCTATACATACAAATATTTATAAAAATTTAAAATCTAAAAATATATCTATATGAATAATACAAACTATTCAAAGTTGCTATATATATATATATATATATATATATATATAAATATTGCCATATATCCACTAGTGATAAATCCACAGAGAATTATAACCGGACTCTGTAGTTCAGCGCTTTTTAGCATATTTGAACTCTTTCTTTTTTTCTATTTTCTATATAACTCTTTCAGCAAAAGAAGTTCTGATAAACCCGTCCAATCAAGGATTAGTAAGGGGCCAAAGCAGAGCTTAAGTGAGAGTGAATATAGGACTCGCACTAGAATGGTGTCAAGGCAAATCCAGATGAGTGCTGATTAAAATGATTTATTTAATAATGAGGGCCGGGACTCGATTAAAAAAATTTATCTAATTAATTAGAGGCTTTGTAATTAATTAATCGAAATTAATCGCATTTTTAATC